AACCCGCCACCTTAGGTGTATGTGGCTGGCGCCTTAGCCGATTGAGCCACAGGCGCCGAGTCCACAATTTCTTTCTTAAAATAAGAGTAGTCGTTCCTGCCCTTATCTATGGTTTCGCTGTCCAGAGTTTCAGTTATATGCAGGGCAGTACAATGAGCTATTGAGATAGAAACCACATTCAAATGACTTTTATTCCGTTATATTACTATAATTCTATTATAAGTTAATTGTTATCAATCTCTTACTGTGCCTAGTTTATAAACACATATCATATTGGGCAGAAAGTTGGGGGGGGGGTTTGTTGCTGTTGTTTTTTGAGACAGAGCCTCAAGTTGTCATCCTGAAGAGTCCTGTGGCATCACAGCTCACAGCAACCTCCAACTCCTGGGCTCAAGTGAGTCTCCAGCCTCGGCTCTCCAAGTAGCTGGGACTACAGGCGCCTGTCACAATGCCTGGCTATTTTTTAGTTGCAGCCATCATTGTTGTTTGGCGGGCCCAGGCTGGATTCAAATCCACCAGCTTAGCTGTATGTTGCTAGCGCCTTAGCCACTTGAGCCACAGGCGCTGAGGTGGGCAGAAAATTAAAAAGAAAATTTTTTTTAACTTTATTGTAGGTATGTATTATAGTAAAAAACATAACATGTATATACATATAGGGTTTGATACCATCCACACTTTCAGACACTCACTGAAGCTCTTGGAATGTATCATGTATGGATACCATTGTGTTCTAGTTACCACATTCTCCTGATTTTCCTCTTCCATGTCCAATTCATCTCTTTTTACAAGCTCAGTCTCCTCCACATAGACCTCAAATGATGGCTTTCTCAAAGCCACCTTCTGTCTTTTGGTATATTTTGTCCCAAAGCCACGTCATCCATACCTTAACCATGGCTCCAATGAATACAAACAAGGGGATGACACTTCTGAATTACAGCTATTCCAGGGTTCTTTCAGTAAATGGCAACACTATTAAACCTAGTGATATCAGAAGCTAGTATCATGGGAACCACCCTGTCATATACAAAACTGGGAGCCAGAAATCCCAGAAATTCATTCATCCTCATTCCCCATTATTCAATCCATTAGTAAGTCAGACAGACATTATGTCCTAAATCAATCATTATTTTCTGTTCAGAATCTCCCATCACACCATAACTACTGCAATGAGTTTTTTAACAATCTCTTCTTATTTAGTGGTGCTCCTCTAATCCACAATGCAGGCAGAGTGAACTTTAAAAAATACAGATCAAACTCAGTGCCTACAGCTCAGCTGCTAGGACGCCAGCCACATACACCGAAGCTGGCAGGTTGAACCCCCAGCACAGGGCCTGTCAAACAACAATGACACCTATTACAAAAAAATAGCTGGTGCAATGGCATGCATCTATAGTCCCAACTATCTGGGAGGCTGAGGCAAAAGATTTGCTTAAGCCCAAGAGTCTGAGTTGCTGTGAGTTGTGATGCCACAGCACTCTACCAAGGGCAACATAGTGAGACTGTCTCAAAAAACAACAAAAAGTACAACTCAAACGACAGCATCCCCTTCTCCTGACTCTTTAATGTTATCCCATTATCTTTAGGACAAAATATAAAATTTTTAATGAAATACACAAGATACTTATGATTTGGTGCATATCTACTTTCTAGATTCATATTGTGCCACCCTCCATTACTGTGGGTTGTAGACCTCCCATGGCAAGAACACATACATTTTCTGTTCTGAGAAATGGTTCCTCTTTTCCCCAGTAAACACCTAATTCATCTTCTTAAGTCTCAGGTCAAGCATAACTTTACTAGGGAAACTGTCCTACAACACTACCACAAAAAAATGTCCCTGGTAAGTGTCCCTGCTGTATCAATGAATGCAGACAAAACTTTTTCCTTTATCACTATTCCAAGTTAAGTAATTACCTACTTGATTATTTGCCGATGCCTTTCTCCTAGACTCTTAATTTCCCATGACCACAAGCAGGGCTGATGTTTTTCACCCACCACTGGATCCCAGCACCTAGTAGAGTACTCAATCTATACAATATACTAGTATTTGTAAAATAAATAATATCGACTCAATTAGTGTGCATAAAAAACACAATCATAAGGAAAGAACCAGCAGTCCCCAGGGACAGGGAGGACAGAAAAGAATTTTGTATTAGCAGAATTAAAAAACCCAAATAGATAGGCTACAAAAGATAAGGTATTAGTTTTTAAAACAGGAAATTCAGGCTTGGCACCTGTGGCATCGGTGCCGGCCACATGCACCAAGGCTGGTGGTTTGAACCCAGCCCAGGCCTGCTAAACAACAATGACAAGTACAACAAAAATATAGCCAGGCATTGGGCTGTGTGCCTGTAGTCCCAGCTACGTGGGAGGCTGAGGCAAGAGAATTGCTTAAGCACAAGAGTTTGAGGTTGCTATGAGCTGTGACGTCACAGCACACTACCGAGGGCAACATAGTGAGACTCTGCCTCAAAAAAACAAACAAACAAAAAAAAAAACCCAGGAAATTCATAAAAGTCTTTGAGCACCTAGATATTCCATATTCAAAACAGGTCCAGCGAATGCTCACAGCAGCTGCTCAGGCTGCAGTGGCTCAGAGATTGGGGCCTTTTGTTTAGAGTAGCAGTGGAGCCCCAGACCGGCCTTGGCCTGTGGCCTCCTCTAGCTAGCTCACTCCTGGGGTACCCCTCCCTGGGAAAAGAAGTCACTTCTTAGGCCCCCAGGCAGTGTTACCATACCCTAGCACTTCAGGACAGCCCTACCATCTCCATATCACTGCAGGGAAAAACAAAAAGTTGAATGCTTAAAAAGTACTTGGAAATATCTGACATCTAATATAATATATGGATCCACTGGCATTCAGAATGTACACCTTGAGCTGAATGATTTAATATTTTTTTGGCCAAAGAGAGAACATTAGTTATATCAGACTTCAACCCAGGACCTACATATTTTCAGGCAAACAGTAAACATTACGAACAGTGTTATGTGCTAGAAGAGGTGGTGCTTATTACAAATTTGAAAAAGATTTTCACACAATTGGAAACCACCTGCATAAACTGGATGAATCTGACCGCTTCTAAAGGAGTGGTTCTCGGCTCGGCGCCTGTGGCTCAAGTGGATAAGGTGCCAGCCACAGACACCTAAGGTGGCAGGTTCGAATTCAGCCTGGACCTGCCAAACGACGACGGCTACAATCAAAACATAGCCGGGCGTTGTGGCGGG